TAGGTTGGCCGTCAAAAGGGGACGAAGATGAGGCCAAAGACTGCCTCGACACTGGCCTTTTCCCCAAACCACCAATAGTTGCTGCCTCGACACTGCAAAAGTAAGGAAAACAGGGAAACCATATTGAAATGATACCCCCAAAGAAGAAAAAAAGCAGCACAGAAACGCTATTAAGAAAAAGAAGAACCCAGATGCGGATTTATTTTGAGCATATTGACCAGATGGGCAATCTGCAGTTACGCAATCGGTACTCCAGTTGAAAAAGGGAAACCCACCAAACAGACACTCTGAAATCTCAATCCCTCATTTCTTTCTCGTCCATTCAGGGGGTGCAGATACACCTGCACGGATTACAGGTGACAGTAGGAGAAGATGCAGACGAGAAGGCCGGGAAAGATTTCACAGCAACGGCAGATGGGAAGAGTGTGTTCAGATCCCTCATTAAGGAAGGGTAGAAACGTAATTTGCAAAATGGGTTTGATCGGACAATCTGAATGAATTAACGAAAGGTTAAAAGTGTAAAATCAACTTTTCCGTCTTAATTTAACGATGATGACAATTGTCTTTGGGTAGCAGGTCCAATGGCAGAAGGTATATAAAAGCTTGTCAGAGAGGCTGAGAAGAAAAAGGATCAGAGCCTTCTCTATTACAACAACAGCCACTTCAATTGAAGAATACTAGAGTGCTATGACAACCATGGTAGATCCACCGACACGCCCAGCTCCAATGCAATAGATTTTCACCAATTTCAATTTTAATCGATAATCTGCAAGAATGGAAGCCCACATAAAACTTTGAAAGGCACACAGTTATAGATCTTATATATATTCCAGCAAGGAGGGAGAAAGGCAAACAACAGCTAGAGTTGATTAACAAGCAAGATTTCATGAAGCCCACTTCATGAAATTGTCAAAACGTCTGGTTTATTATCAAGATTTTAGGTCAATCCTTGGCTTCAAAAAATGACTTGATTCTTATTAGAATTCAATAAATGAATGCCAACAGAACATACATGAAAAGTGACAGTCTGAGTTGCACTACTCCTAAATACCAGAACCTTCAAACAAGCGTGTAGATTCGTGCCTTATGAACAAATTCATTCAACGTAACATGGAATAAAACCCAATTAAAGACCCAACAGAAAAACAAAAATGACATCTCTCATACACCAAACTAAATGAGAAGCCGTCAGATTCTCTTTGAACGTATTCCAATGCCTATGTATTCGCTGTTAGACCCCCAATATTAGATGATATACGAAGGGCATTTTTGTCTTTTTATATGTCACTTAAACGTACATTAACCATTTTTGAACTAACCAATATTTTAATTTTCAGGAGTTAAAGCAACTGTAGTGCCATGTTTTCAAGTTCGGGTGTTAATGGTTTTTCATGTTTAGGAGTGACCCTTAACCCAATTTATATATCTAATTTAAACTCCTACTTTATTAATTAAAGCCAAAAGGGATTAAGAGAGTTTTAAGAGGAAAATAGGGATTTAGGTGGTGTGGTATTTGATAGCGCTCAATAGGCCTTCAAACGCTGAAATTATTGCTTTTTCAGCAGTTGGAGCTCCTCCAAACACCAAAAACATCTCCTGTTCAGCGTTTGAGTTGCGTCTGATCGCGAGGTAGCAAACAAAACCTTGATTCCAGTCGTGCCCATTCATAAAAATCAAAAACCCAATGTTGCCTGTCTCATCTCTCATTCTCTCTCCTGGATGCGTTTTCGGCCGCCGAAATAAGGGACAAACCAGCTACTCTACATTGTTAACTTTTTAAAAATAATATCAATTAAGGGCAAAAATATCATTCGTCTTCTTCCTCTTGCAATCCATTCATCTGTCCTGCCACCTTTGACAATTCCGACAACATCTTCGGTTATCTCCGCCACCTCCACCCACCTCTGGCAATGCACACGGTGCTACCATTTGCAAGCTTAGATGAAATGTGCATCTTCGAGTCCGATATCACATCCCATCTCGAACTCGAGTCACTGCAGATGATCCCAAGCTTGGCTGCCTCTCCCAATTCATTAGCTTGTAAACACAAGTTTGTGTCCTTGAGCGATAAAGTTTTCTCGGGTGTGTAGCTCTAGGCTTCAGATTCAGTACAAGAACTTAGCTTTAATGGCTCGATCAGAGATTTCCTTAGCACACAAAGGCCAGTTGATGGGTGGAATATTACTTTGTCTGGCCTCACCTCTGAAGAAAGACCTAGACCTGCATTAATTTTACAATATTCAAATTAAAAGGTTAAATGTAAACAAAACTGATCAAACATACATATACCTTGGAACGGAGATTGGAGTGCAGAGATCTGTTGAATGAAGGTTGAATTACGGGTGTTATTCTAGTTCCAACTCAGAACCCCATAAGTCTCATCCATCGCCACCACCCCCTGTCTTAGGTAGTAACTCCCAACCAGTGTCCACAGCGCCCAATCCTAATCAAATTGGGCTACAACACCAAGAAAGCAATTCAAGAACCTATTGTCATTTACATTGGTGCCTCTCTGATCCACACCAAACTCACTGATAAAAAGTGGCCAACCTCGGTCCAACAAAAAACCTCCTTTTCTCATCAAGTTATTCACAACAGTTGCACAAAGGGACAAACTTGGTTTGGGTTGCCCGTCTCCCACGCCTTGCTATCAGAGAATGCATACCAGTGAAGCTCGAACACTAACTTCCCGGAAAATGTTAAGTTCAGTGGTTGCTTGGCCAGGTGGAGGCAGAGGTGGGCGGAGGTGGCAACCTTGGGCAGAGGTGGAGGCGTTGCTGGAGGCAGGCGGAGGTGCTGATGAATGGATTGTAAAAGGAAGAAGATGAACAGTATTTTTTGTCCTTAATTGATATTATTTTTAAAAAGTAAATCTATTTTTGAAATTTTATTTAAAGTATTACTTTTATTGATATTAGGGCCCAAAAATTGCCCTTATCAGCTATAATCCTTTTTTTTTCAATTATCCTCACCATCTCTTTTTCCCTCTCTCTTTCTTCTTCTATTACTTCTTCCACCTCCTCCTCATCTTCTTCCTCTTCACTACAGTCACCGAACTAGGGTCGTAGACCATTCATTGTTGATGGAGGATAACCAAAAAAAAGAAGAAGAAAAATATTTCATTGGAAGAGGGGGAAAGAGAGATGGGACGATGAGGAGAGAAGGAACAACGACGCGGTTATTCCTCACTAAGCACAGTGGGTGGAGTTCACATCTCCGCCCCACAGCACATCCCCACCGTGTATTGGGAACATCTCTCGATGATGACAGTGGGGGAGGAGATGTGATCTCCAGTGGGTGTGCCCTTGTAAAAACGAAATAAAACTTTTTGTTTTTCAGCTCTTATCCCAGAAGTGTGCATGCCCCACAGCATATCCCAACATTCAAATTATCAAACAACACCGCTATATTCAGATGTTTGCAAAAGCATAAAAGCAAATTTTCCACTAAATGATTTTAGAGGTCTTTTAGAGATTTTTTTTTTTATAGACTTCAGATTTCAGATTTATCGAACACCACCTTAATGGGGATGGAAGATTTAAAAATAACGACTATTAAAATGGGAGGGAGAGAGACAATGAAGACCCATACAGATTTTAATTTTGAATTGTAATATTTTTAATGATTTAATTTAAAAATAAATATGCCCATGTGTGAAAAAAGAGAGGAGGAAGTATATATATATATATATATATATATATAGAGAGAGAGAGAGAGAGAGAGAGAGAGAGTATAGATGTTAGGGTACGGAAGAACCTAAAACCTGCCTTGTAGGTGTCGTTTTTAGGTTTTTGGAACCAAAAACTACCTTATGAAGGTCATTCTAGGGTTAATTCCAGGGTCTACCCACAGAACTTGAATTTTCTTTACTCTTCCTCTTCACAAAAAAAAAGTTCTTTAAAAACTTGATTTTTAATAAATATAAATATAGTTTATAACTTATATTATCTTCATTGATTAAATTGGATAACTTAATATGTAGATTATTATTATTATTATTATTATTATTATATGGTTAAAAACTCATAAATTAAATTTAACTTTTGTAAATATTATCTTGTACACTACTTAGTGTACTCATTAAAATATTAAAGTGAAAACAAATTATCAAATCACTTAAGTAACTTAATGGTCAAGTGAGACCATGGCATTTATAACCATGAATGCTTGGGTTCAAATCTTCACATCCTTAAAAGTATTTTAGGATTTATTTCAAGGCAAATTTGGTTCCAAGAAAGGACAAACCATAATGAAATAATTAGCAAAGTGGTTTTGTTAAAACCAGTAGACTTTTGTATTGACAAAAGTGGGTCCTACCAAACCCCCCCCCCCCCAAAAAAAAAAAAAAGCCCCATTAAAATGTTAAGGAGGGTTCTCTAACTCTCTTAACCCTCAAAATTATAAAAAAAAAAAAAAAAAAATTGTTTATTTTTGTTTCATAAAACCCATAATAAACTCAAAACCTTCTACCCTATTTTTCTCAAAGTCCTATCTATTCTCTATCTTCTTGTTTTTTTGCAAGAAATTAGACCATATGAAAAATAAGGTTGACATTCCACTCTCTACCGGCCCTGAATTATAGCCACACATCTTTCAATTCATAATAGAGATGTGTGGCTCCAATTCATGGCAAGTAGAGAGTGGGTAGGAAAAGTGAGTAGGAAATCCCGAGTGGTAATTGCGGGGTTTAAAAATTGCCACAAAGCCTATAACCAACAGATATGAAAGTCCTCTCACCCCTAATATCATTTATGCATTTCTTACTTTTTCCAATGATATTTATTTTGTTGTTTGTGTTGCAAATCTATATAATGTAATTGACTTGTTAACATAATTTTTTCATTATCATAAAACAAAAAAATATCTAAATAACTTGATTCCCAAAGAAAATTCCTAGCTCCGCCACTGCTTCAAAGGCGGGTTTCAATAAGATTGGTTCCACTAAAGTGAACTAAGGCTGATTTATCGGGTTGATTTGAGTAGGGTAAACCCCTTGGAATCAGACTGAATGGATCAGTTCTAAGAATTTAGAATCAAACAACCTACCCATTTTACTCACCCCTAATAAATATAGCTCTTTTGTAGGAAGGAATTGGCAGGGAAAAAAAAGAGCTTCATTTCTGGTGGGGACTGGCAGGTTAAATGCAAAATACATCCTTTCCATTCAGTGTCAAACAATGAGCAAATTTCGCGAGCCAGACTTCGTCGATGCAGAAGTTGAACGACTCGAAGGGGCGAACTTGTCAAAGACGGATCGATGATCGATTGATCGATAATACCGTGAAAAAACACCTGATTTTCCGAAGAGTTTGGTAATGATATATGTATGAAAAGAAGAGAGCAATTGGGGAAGATTTGTCACCGTGGCTCTACTCTCCAAGGTGGCCGGTTGGAGCCTTCCGTTGAGAGAACTCGGGAGAGTCTGATATCAGTTCGATTCACTTCCTGTGTATCTCTCTGGTATCACTCTCCTCTCCTTGAGTTCATAGAAATTAATTAGGGGGATCTTCAATCGGCCGTTTTTCTATTCTATGATCTCCCACTCTCAGCAGGCTCAATCTCAAGGATTCAAGAGCTTCATTTATATCTTTCCAACGGCCCGGATCTCGTTTTCCTTGGGATCAATCCGTTCGACATCAAAAAATAAGTTTGATTTCTTGAGAATATCGGGGACCTAATTCATAAAACGTGGAAAGGGAGATCGCGCGATAGAGGACAAGAGATAGATCGTGCTTTTCCTTGTTCCATTCTCCCACCGGATAAACTCGAAACTTGTTCAATATGCTTCAAACTGGCTACCAACCAACCATGACTCGGCAATTCGCGTTGCCTCCCTCTTTGAACCGTCGCGGACCGTGCTTGGGGAATCAGGAACCCTCGGCCAGAATGGGGTTCGGCGAGTTAGCTGGTGAGACGGCGGCAGAGTGCGTGGCGGTATGTTGCTGCTGCCCGTGTGGGCTCGTGAACCTGCTGGTCCTGACAGTGTACAAGGTACCAGCCGGTCTCTGCCGGAAAGCGTTGAAGAAGAGAAAACACCGAAGAAAGGGAGGGAGTCTCTTGCCTCGGCGGCTGGGTTGCCCCAACGGGTGCGACGATAACGAGTTCGAGATACATCTGATGCCGGTGGACTCAGAATTGGAATTGGATGTAACGTCCAAGGAGGTTGTTGAGCTTGATAAGGAGATGTGGGATCTGTTCTACGAGACTGGGTTCTGGAGGAGTCATTCTCAGCTCGGGCGGGAGTAGCAACCAACGGCGATAACGGTCAGTAAACAGCTAAAAATTTGAAGAGAGAGAGAGAGAAGCTCTTTCCAATATGTTTAGAAATCAGATACGTACAATTTGGTGGCTGGTGCTTCTTTTTCTCTTTTTTTTTTTTTTTTACTTTTTTTCAATGAGATCAAATGAAAAATGCGAGCAACCCTATTTTTACTTTTTTTTTTTAACTTTTTTACCCTTTAACTAGTGGGAGTGGATATTATTGCCAAATGGATAAGAGTTAAAGGTTGGTAAGATTGTTTATTGGTACCTCAGTCAGGGGCATGTATTACAAAATGGTTTAACTCTGCTACATAGGCTGTTGGAACCTCAAGCCAAGTTTTATAATGACATGAAATCAACATAACATGAAAACCACTACGAAAAAAATACAAAAAAAAAAGAAAAACATATTTGAATTAATTACCATTTGATGTAACCGTTTTTGGTCACGTACCATTTTTTGGGATGTGTAAAATTTTTTGGTTAAGTACCTCATGTTTGACCTGGTGGTGACGTGCCTTGGTGATGAGCTACTTGGTGGCGAACTTCCCG